TAGACAAGAAAAGCCAGATTTTTTTAAATACCTTGCCAGAACATAAGAGTATTCTGTAAAGTATGTTATTCAGAAAAACAGTGACACATTTACCGGGAGCGACTTTTTGAGATACTTCGAGATCTACTGCGGCTGCTCCTGCGACTCCTACTCCGTGACCTTCTTCTAGATCGTGACCTACAACAAAAAACATGATAAACCTTCATGTCAAGACACCTTGACATGAATGTTTAATTGCTCACTACAAATTAAATCCACTATCAAAACATCTGAAAAAGAACCCAGTGATGCACAACGAAAAGGAAACTAAGAGCTGACCTAATTTCAATTAAGCAACAATTGAAATACTGCTGTTTGAATCTTCCTGTTCATGGAAAATACTCTTTCCTCCCCTCTCCATATCCTTAAACAAGTTACCTTGATCTGCTTCCAGAGTAAGACCGCCTATGGCTTGTTCGTGGTTTATCTTCAATGAGTCTAATATTTCTCCCATTGATTTCTGTACCATCCAGCTTATCCAAAGCACGCTTCATGTCAGAGTAGGAGCGAAACTCAATGACGCCTTCGTTTGTGCGTTCTTTGTGAGCATCCGCATAGGTTACCTCACCAGCTTGTCTCATGAAATCCTAAAAACATCAAGACTGGTCAGACCCAGGTATGTAAAGAAAAAAAATCTATGTGCTATATTTGATTCTCAGAGATAAAAGAGCAATTAAATAGTCTACTTTTTAAACATTAGTCATGCCATTTTAATCTCAAATTATAATATGTACCTTTAAATCTTGCCAACTGCAACGACTAGAAAGATTTTCTACAATAAGTCTGAACTCTGTGCGTACAGGTGGTCCATATTTGTCTCTGCCAGAGGTTCTCCGACTGCTGTATCCACCTCCACCACCTTTATCACATGAAGAGAACAATTAGATGCTTTGTAATGATAGCGATGCATAATGTTTTTGAAAGTTAGTACAAACATATCAACTTTCATTTACTGGAGTAGGACTTTGCTATTATACTGCTAAACCTTCGATACAGTTGTGATTTGCCATAAATTAAATTAAGGGCAAGTCAAATAAACTAAATCCAACTAAACTTCTCCTACAATCTGTTAGAGAGTGACTGCTCCTTTATTCAATTTACCTCGCTAAGTTTTATTTTACAGAACATTGTAAAATATAAAACTTAACTGATTACATGCATTTCTACATTTTACAAAAATGTTTACTAGTTACACTAAGTACTTACATCACAGTGTGAGGTTTTTGGTGGTGGTTTGGCCACAAAACACGCAAGGTAACAGTCACCTAGTTCAGATTAACCAGTTTTGTCTAACCCTTGGAATCCTCACCATCACCCTGCGTCTAATGGCAAAAGGCTGCTGTCGTCATGGCTTCCGGTAAGGTCAGCCAAAGGGTCATAGGGCAAGGGTCACACAATGTATGGAAAAGCCAAGGCCAATCAGGAAAGGCAGTCATCTTAGCCTCAGTGGACACAGCCTCAGCCCCATTGGTCACTTTCAAATTGAAACATCAAGGACTTGTTAAAAAGTTGGAATTCAACATGCAACAATTTCAACATCAAACATTTAACATAACCAAAAATCCCCCCACCTCCTCCCAATAACATGCCCCAACTAGTTCAAATACAGCATAAAGCTCATTTAAATCTACTTTGTGGTATAATACCACGTTACTTCAAAACAGTATTTTCTTTGGCCCCTGCCAATTTTAATAACTCTAAGACCTATGCTTAAGACCCCACCCCTTCCCCCGCCCCCACCCCACCCCCAGCCTGTCCCAAACTTTACGCTAAGCTATTCACACTTCTAGCTAATGCACTGACAGGTAAGCAAGGAGGATACAACAAATACAGCCATCCCTCACTTCCTTCGTAGGCAGAGCCCACGCCAGTGCTGACAGGGGCCCAGCACAAGCCACCCCCTCCCAACTTAGCAACCCCCCGGCCCCAAACACCCAAACCCTGGCTAGGCAAAACCCACAACCCAATCCCCGCGCTCCGGCGTCCCATGTCTTCCCCGGGCAGGCGTGAAGGCAGCAGGCCCCGGGGACACCCGAGTCAAACGAGCCCTGCCACCGCGCCTGCCCGGCGGGGAGGCCCCACCCCGCCCATCCTAAGCCTGCACCCACCCCCGGGTCCCGAGACGCGGAGCGCGCGGGGTGGGACTCACTGCGGCTTCCGTAGCTGTAGCCGTCGCGATCGCGGCGCGGGCCGCGGGCGTGCTCCACGATCACGCGCTCGCCGCAGAGCTCCTTGCCGTTCAGCTCGTAAACGGCGTCGTCGGCGTCGCGGGAGTCCTCGAACTCCACGAAGCCGTACCTGGGGGCGGTGCGAGGGCGGGAGGCCGGCGGGCGTCGTTAGGCCGGGGGCGCGCACGCTCCCGCGGCCCCGTCCCCCGCGCGCTCCCGTGGCCCCGCGCCGCCGCCATTTTGGCGGCCCTGCCACGCGGCGCCGCGGCCTTGGCCGTCTCCTCCCTCCGACGGGCCCTGCCGCCGCAGGTCCAGGGCGCTGCGGGCGGACGCGGGCGCCTAGGTCCGACTCACCCATTTTTAAGGTCTATTTCGAGAAGGCGGCCGTAGCCACTGAAAAAGCGCTGGATGTCCTTCTCCCGGACGTTGTAGCTCAGGCGTCCTATGTAGACGCGCGGCATGTCCGTGGCGGGCGAGGGGCCCGAGGGCTGGCTGTCGAACGGCGGACCGCAAGGCAGAAGCCGCGGTGCGGGTGCGGGGACGGCTACAGCCGGGACACGCGCCTCACACCGCAGCGGCGGCCGAGTCCAGCCACACAATGGTGCGCGCGCGCCTGGGCTACGCTATAAGGGCGGGCGGCCAGGGGCGGGGCCCGGCGCATGACGTCAGCGCGCAGCACGCACCCTCCCGCGCTGGAGCGCGAGGCTAGACGGCGATTTGCAGGTCTGCTGCCCGCCAAGTTCCAGGCGAGTGCGATTCTGCCCTCTTACCGAATTTTCTCCACCCAGATTTGTAAACGTCGTTTCCCGTTGTCCAGCCGAGGACTAGTTTTCTAATTTGTACCTTAAAAAAGAAACTGTTCCTCTGCGGGTTCTGTCAGGGACTGCCGGTCGGGAGGCCGGCTAGGAGAATCCCTGTGTTCATTGGTTCTCCAGGTTGTCATAATAGGCCTCCGTGGTCTGATTGGCTCCTTGAAAATTTGGCTGCGAATTTTATCCACAGATCGCTCGGCTCACGCTCAACCTGGTGGGGAAGGCGCTCTCGAACTTGGTTAGTGGCCCATTTCCAGAGAATCCGAGGTTTGCGCTCCCAGGTCTTGAAGACCCGGCCGGGAGCGCGCTGCCTTCCTGGCTTCTATCCCTCGTTGTCTCACAGCCCTCGTCGTGGTCTCACTTTCACGGCCTCCCTGAATGTCCACCTCTCCTTACAGAGGTCTTTCTTGGAGCACTGGCATCTGGAGTCACCTGTAGATTGAGGTGTACCTGGCAGCCCTACGCTCGCTGTAGGTACTGACAAAGGGAACCGGGCCAAGTCTTCTGGTCCAAGAAAGTTGAGCAAGACCTGGCAGCCCTCCCACAGAGGTACGCTCATTTTCTCCCTCTTAGGGAGGGTCCCTTGTCCCAACCCGATCCCTTACCCCTTTGGTTGGGAAGGCTCCTTATCTATGTGGCAGAAACGCACGTCATGGGAGTTTACCACTAGAGATGCCATTTAGAGCCGGAGAACTAGCTGAAAACTCCAGAGGAGTCAATGTAAGTGGAGAGCAGAAGACCCTGGAGTCTTCTAAAACTTAAAGACAGGAAGGAGACTGGGAAAGGGTGACTGGGGAGGTGGGAAAGAGAGCCAGTGAGCATGATGTCACACAAGCGGGGAGGAAGGGGATAACACTGAGATCATACTGGCTGTTTAGGTATTACCGCATATTCCAGCTCGTCAGGAGCAGGGCAGCCTTGATGTTTTGCAGCTTTTGGTTGGAAGGGGAGTGATTTTGCTCTCCAGGGGACATTTGGCAAAGTTTGGAGGTCTGTAGGTTGTCGTGACTGGGGGTAGTGTTGATAACTGACATTTAGTGGTAGAGGCTATACTGTCTGTGCTTAAAGTTAGGTAAATAAAATATATAGGTAGATACTTAAATTTTTTTTGTGTGTGCAATATAGTAATTAGGTAAGGAGAATTAACAGTGGGATAACTCCCCCCCCCACTCATCCAATTTGTTTGTTAAATAAAGTTTGTTAAAATTCACTGTTGGTAAGAGGTGAACCTGGAAATGCTGCTCACGTAGCACTGGTGGGACTGAACGTCCCTTGTGGGAAGGTAAGTAGGTGGTACTTATTAAAGATGCATATCTGGAGTGGGATGTTGCCTCCTCTCTCCTTGCTGATAATTTGCCCAGAGAGGAAAAATGCAGCTGACACCGCCCTCCACTCTCTCTCACCTCTCTGTTACTCTTAAAATGGTTACTCTTTAAAAATTTTGAATAGCAAAAGTGGAAACAGTCTTAAATATCATTGGTGAAGGGAGTGTTGGGCCATCAGCATTCTGTGGAATCTTGCCGATGATCTCACGCACCTCTTGGTATTTCGGAAGAACAACTCAAAGGAGAAATAATGGATGGACAGCATGGGAGCTCATTTCTTTAGATGCTGTGGCAATGTCTGAAGTGTCTTTAGACACAGTGGCAGATAAAGATCACTGCTCATTTGAAAGTTGTGCGGGTAACTGCAGCATACAGCTCTTGCTCCCTCTGTCAGCAAGAGAGACAGAGTAGCCTCAGTCTGATCCAGAAGAGAATTAATAACTTCAAATCCATAATTACCCAGGTTGTAAAACACAGTCTAGAGCAGCACACAGTTGCAGTTTTCAATTCAATGGCTATTTTTACATATGTTAGCTGGAAACCAAAAGTATTTCCCAAGCACCAAGTGATTTGAAGTGTTGTCAGCTGGATTCTGATGGGTTTTGCTTTCTTATGTCTGAAAAATTGATCATTCCAGAGGCTGTCATTTTGAATGGATTTTGGGAAAACAAGGCAACTCAGGTGTCTGGAGTGAAATGTATGCAGCAGATTATGGCTCCAGGCCAAACAGGGCCTGCCACAAGTTTTGTAAATAAAATGCTATTGGAGCACAGCCACACCCACTTACTTACCTATTGTCTGAACTTAAGCCATGATAGCAGTATCAAATAGCTGCCACAGAGACTGCCCACAAAGCCTAAAATATTTACTAGCTGGTTCTTCACAGAAAAAGTTTGCCTACTCCAGATCCACGTTAAGTACTTGTAAAGATGTCTATGGTATGTTGTTAAATAAGAAAGACCAGTTTTAATATATGCATGGTGCCATGTTTATGAACAACCACCACCCCAAACTCCCAAGCCCAACCCTGTATATGAATATATATTTGTTTAAGGGTTGGGTTGTCTTTGAGCATCAGTCGGTGTGGGTCCTACCTAATCATGTCCCTTCTAACCCTTTCCCAGTGTTCCTTACCCTTCCTCCTCCCATCTGCTTCTTACTGTGCCTTGAATGTGCCAAGCACCCACCTACCACAGGGCCTTTGCACTGAATGTCTCCCTGTATCTGGAGCTTTCTTTTCCAATGGTTTGTTCCCTCACTTCTGGTTTCTGTTTCAAGTCACCTTATCACCCCTCTAACCACTTTTAATTTTATTTATTTTATTTTTTCCCAGATTTATTGGAATAGTATTGACATATCACACATGTAAGTTTAAAGTCTACAGTGTGATGGTTTGATACACATATATATTGTGAAATGATTGCCACAATAAGATTAGTTAATACCTCCATCCCCTCATATAATTACTATTTTTGTGTGTTTGGTGATAACATTTAGGATCCACTCTCTTAAAAACTTTCAAGTTGTTAATACAGTATTGGTAATAATTAATTATAGTCACCGTATATACATCAGATCCCCAGAACTTATTCATCTTATAGCTGGGAGCTTGTACCCTTGGGCCTACTTCTCCCAGTTCCTGCACCCCACCCCCTCAGCCCCTGGCAACCACCATTCTACTCTACTTCTATGAACTTTACTTTTTTAGAGTCCATATATGTAAGAACATACAGTATTTGTCTTTCTCTGTCTGATTTATTTCATTTAGTATAATGCCTTCAAGGTCCATTTGTGTTGTAGCATAAGTCACATTTCCTTCTTTTTTGTGCTTGAATAATATTCCATACACACAATCACACCCCACATTTTCCTTACCCATTCTTCTGTTGATGGACACTTTAGTTGTTTCCATGTCTTGGCTACTATGAATAATGCTGCATGAACATGGGACCAGAGATATCTCTCTGAGATAATGCTTTCATTTCTTTTGGATATGCTATAAACCCAGAAGTGGAAATGCTAGATCTATAGTAACTAATTTTTAATTTTTTGAAGAACCTTAGTATTGTTTTCTATAGTGGCTGCACCAGTTTACACTCTCACTAACAGTGCACCAGGGTTCCTTCCCACACGCCGCCTCCCTCCATATCCTCACTTTTTGATCATAGCCATTCTGACAGGTGTGAGGTGACAGCTTACTGTAATCACCCACTTTAAAACAGCATTCTTCCCTGCACTCTATACTTTCTTACCCTGTTTTCTTTTTCTTTATTAAACTTTCATCCTGTGGCATATATTCTGTCTCTTCACTGTTGTACCCCAAGCACCAAGGAATATGCCAGGCCCACAGTAAGTGCTCAGTGCTCGTAATTGTTCTGAGACTGGGAAGTGAGGCTTTCCACTGAGCGGATAGCGGTGTGCCGAGGAGCTCATGAAGACACGCTGGCGGGATGGAATCTTCCTCCTCCTGGCTTGTGCTCACCCACCCAGACACTCACCTCCGACCCCTCGGAGGGTCAAGACATGTGCAGAGATGTTCATCAAGATCTCACATTTCCTCAACCGAGTCTCTTCTAGACAGGGGGAGAATGCTGGGGTGCTAAGGAGTCACCCGAGTTCTCATACATTGACAGTAGGAGTGCAAATTAATAAAGTCACTTTGGAAAAGTGAGTGATAGTGTCTACTAAGGATGAAAGCTGCTATGTTTCCCCCATGACCTAACTACTCCACACCCAACAGAACTGTGTACATACGCTCTCCGTAGGGAAAGTGCTAGAAATTCATAGCGGCGTGATGTGCATTAGCCCCCAAACGAAACCACTCAGATGCCATCAACAGGACAATGGACAAATCAGCTGTGGTTTATTTACACCACAGTGTACTACACAGCAACAAGGAGGAACCACAGCCATCCACAGCACCGTCAATAGCTCTCACAACACTGTAGCCCTCCAAGAAAGACACAAATGAATCCTGGTGAATGATTTCACGTATGTAAAACCAAAAAGCAAGCAAAGCTGGGCTATGGTATTAGAATTCAGGACTAGGGGGCCGGGGGAGTGACTAGAGACAAAACTTCTGGAGTTCCGGTCATATTTTGTTTCTTGAGCTGGATGCTGGTTACATAGCTGTGCCCTGTTTGTAAGAATTCGTTAAGCTGTATGCTTACGATTTGTGCACTTTGCTGTATGTATGTTGTACTTCAGTGGAAAGTGAAAAAAAAAATCTCTAAGAAAATTATAACTTACTTAACCTGGGGCCCTCTGGGTCATGCTAGGGACTAAAGGTCTACTGGGGACTTACAGTTTTTGACCATGAATGTCAATTTGAATCAGTTTATTTGTTTCCAATTAGGTTTCTGTAGGCTAATTGCTCCCTGGCTGGGAAGATGTGGCTCTGTCGCCATCTGGTGGCTTTTTGTTATTACAATGGAAGATAAATCCCCCCCACCTTGCTGCCTCATC